ACGGCAAAGAGGTACGTTCTCCCAGGTCCTGCCTTTCCCTCCCTCATCCCCACCTCGGTTCTGTGTCCCCACCTGAACCGAGCTCTTCTCTGCAGCTTTGGAATCTCAGAATGCACAAAAAGAAAGTGACGCATGTGGCCCTGAACCCATGCTGTGATTGGTTCCTGGCCACAGCCTCCGTAGATCAAACAGTGAAAATCTGGGACCTGCGCCAGGTTAGAGGGAAAGCCAGCTTCCTCTACTCGCTGCCGCACAGGCATCCTGTCAACGCAGGTGTGATATCCCAGACCTCATCTCTCCTGCAGACCCTGCCTATCTGACTGCTGCTGGGGTGTTCCCTCAGCGTGGAAGCCACTACCACAAACCTTTACCCCTGATAGCGTCTGCCAAGCTGATGTCTGGGAACCTTTGTGGCTGTGGCTGTCCCCATCAGCTGCTGAGTTTCCAGAATTTTGTTGTTGTTCACAGCCCAGGTTCACCTCTTCCTTTCCGCTCCTGTCTAGAGAGGAGTGGTAGGGAGGGTACCCCTGCAGGAGAAGGCCTGCAAGGCCAGGACCACAGGGGGCTCGTGGTTCCTTCAGCTCAGGGGCTTTTCACTTTGCCAGCTTGTTTCAGTCCCGATGGAGCCCGGCTCCTGACCACGGACCAGAAGAGCGAGATCCGAATTTACTCTGCTTCCCAGTGGGACTGCCCCCTGGGCCTGATCCCGCACCCTCACCGTCACTTCCAGCACCTCACACCCATCAAGGTGAGTGGCGGAGGGAAGGAGCTCCCAGAAGGAAGCTGTGATCATGAGGCTGGAGCAGGTCTGCCCACGGTGGGGAAGGGCTGATGTGGTAAGCCTGCCACCCCAGATCGCTCCTGGCCCAAGCACAGAGCATCTCTTACCCTTTGGCGCTCTCTCTTCCTTTTATCCCACTTCTGCCATTCCATATGGTTGAGTTTTCTTTCTGTCTCTCTGATAAAGTATTTTTCTGAGTTTTTTCAGCCCAGCTCTGATCTCACGGTGAGCATTTTCTAAGATCCTGACCCTCTGTTCTGTCTTCTCAGCTTCAGTTACCTGTGTACAGTTGACCCACAAACCTTCACCTTTTATTTATTTATTTTTTTTAAGGCAGGGTCTCGCTTTGTCACCCAGCTGGGAGTACAGTGGGGCAATCATGGTTCATTGCAGCCTTGATCTCCCAGGCTCAAGCGATCCTCCTGCCTCATTGTTTTGTTTTTGTGTTTCTTTTTTGCTTTTTGTTTTTTAAAGACAGGGTATTCCTGTGTTACCCAGGCTGGTCCTTTTTTTTTTTTTTTCTTTCTTGAAACAGGGTCTTGCTCTGCCACCCAGGCTGGAGTGCAGTGGCAGAAACATAGCTCACTGCAGCCTCAACCTCCTGGGTTCAAGCAATCCTTCCATCTTAGCCTCGGGAGTAGATTGGACTACAGGTGTGTGCCACCACATCCAGCTAATTTTTTTATTTTTTGTAGAGATGGGGTTTTGCCATGTTGCCCAAGCTGGTCTTGAACTCCTAGGTTGAAGCTGTCCTCCCGCCTTGGCCTCCCAAAGTGCTGGGATTACAGGCATGAGCCACCAGGCCTGGCAACTTTGCCTTCTTAGTTTGTCTTGCAGGTTTCAGTGCTTCTAATAATAAAAATAAGTCTTTTATTTTCCCACCTTTTCACGGGGTCTTGTTAATAGCTTCTCTATCCTTAGTCCCCAAGACTAATGGCTTTCAAGTCCTTTGATGCCTTCTTGCCTGAGCCCCCATGCAGCCTGAGCTCTGCTAGTTCTGCATCCTTTTCCAAAACTACAGATCCTCTTCAGATCTTCAGGTTTTATGCCTGTACTTCTCTGGTCAGTTCAGCCTAGTGGTGGAGAGCACCAGTTTCCAGCAGCCAGACCCCCCGGGTTAGAATCCTTGGGCAAATTATTTATATTTTGGATCTGTTTCCTCATCTGCAAAAAGGGAATACTAGTCTCTAACTGATAGGGTTGTTGTGACGATGAGTCAGTATACTTAAAGCACTTGGCCCCATGCCCAGCACCTGGTAAGTATTGGTAAGTACTCAATAAATGATGATTGAATATTGAGTGGCCCCCATGTACCTCAATCACATCCAAGCTCTTAATAAATAATGTCAAGAATCCTTCCCCAATTGGTGTTCCTGTTAATCCATCAGTGTTCCTAATAATCCATCTGTCCCCATGTCCCAGTTTGTATCTAGCCAGGTGTCATAAGTCATTACAGCTTCCTGTGATTTGTGACTTACTTCTAAGCCTTTGCATGTACTATTTCTTCCTTCCTGCTAACCATGTCTTTCCTCCTTCAAAACTTCCTTGAGAAGTTTAATTAGGAAAATCCCATCCAATTTTGTCATTTTAATAACTGCCAGATTTGTTTTTAGTGAGGTGATCTGGGGAACGTGGGTTTCCTTCTCTTTTTTAGCCAGTAGCAATTCTATACTCAACTCTTAGTAATTCATGCTGACAGAGGCGGGATGATAGTGGGGTTCCTCCAGAACTGAAGTCCTGTTAGGTTTTGGTCATCAGAGGAGTCTTTTGCTTTGTTGTAGGCTGACCTCTTAGGCTAATATCTGGGTCAGGCTGAGGTGAAAACGTTTATCAGTTAGCATGATCTTAGGAAATGCAAGTGAGGGAGAAGGCCTGAAGCTGCCCTAAGGGCCAGGGAGGCCAGCTAGGGATTAAAAATGTGCAATGGCAGAGGCAAACACAACCAAAAACCATTCTTGTTGTTTTCTGTAAGACTTACCCCCATTATTAGGTTGGCTTGTTACTGGCAAATAATACCCTTTTTTTTTTTTCCTTTGAGACAGAGTCTTGCTCTGTCCCCTAGGCTGGAGTGCAGTGGCATCATCTTGGCTCACTGCAACCTCCGCCTCCCAGATTCAAGTGATTCCCCTGCCTCAGCCTCCCGAGTAGCTGGAACTACAGGCATGTGCCACCACACCCAGCTAATTTTTTTTTGGTATTTTTAGTAGAGACAGTGTTTCACCATGTTAGCCAGGATGGTCTCGATCGCCTGACCTCGTGATCCGCCCACCTCGGCCTCCCAAAGTGTTGAGATTACAGGCGTGAGCCACCGCGCTTGGCCCAAAGAATACTTTTGATGTCCCTCTTTGTTGATGTTTAATGTCCCTCTTGGTCATGTTCTGCGTTTACTCTCATGACCGGCCTCTCCACCTCCTAGGCAGCCTGGCATCCTCGCTACAACCTCATTGTCGTAGGCCGATACCCAGATCCTAATTTCAAAAGTTGTACCCCCTATGAAATGAGGACGATCGATGTGTTTGATGGAAACTCAGGGAAGATGATGTGTCAGCTCTATGACCCAGAATCTTCTGGCATCAGTTCGGTGAGGCTTGGGCCCTCAAATAATGATGGGAGGAAGCAGGGATTCAACCTACCTTATTGACCAAAAATGACCAGAAATTAGGTTTTGTGTGCCCTTCTATGTCTCTGCTAATACCTTCACCCTTTCCTTGTGTTGACACTCTTGTCTCTGCAGCTCAATGAGTTCAATCACATGGGGGACACGCTGGCCTCTGCAATGGGTGAGTAGGAAGAGGATGTATCTGACTTGCCGAGCCCAATCCTACTTCCCAAGGTTCAGTGCGGGCCAGCCTCAGCCCTGCCCTGCCACATTCACCCTAGGGCAGTGGCCCGTGAAGAAGATGGCTGGGAGACAGTGGTCTCTTTAGCCAAGGCCCTCCATGCCTCTGGCTTTGTCTTGGTCATGCAATGCCTGGCTACTGTCCAGTTTCCTAATATTTATTTCTTTTTTCTTTTTTTTTGAGACAGGGTTTCACTCTTGTGGCCCAGACCGGAGTGCAATGGCATGGTCTTGACTCACTGCAACCTCCGCCTCTCGGGTTCAAGAGATTCTCCTGCCTCAGCCTCCCGAGTAGCTGGGATTACAGGTGCCTGCTACCACGTCCAGCTAATTTTTTTCATATTTTTAGTAGAGACGGGCTTTTACCATGTTGGCCAGGCTGGTCTCAAACTCCTGACCTCAGGTGATCCGTCCGGCTTGGCCTCCCAAAGTGCTGGGATTACAGGTGTGAGCCATTATGCTGGCCAGTTTCCTAGTATTCCTTTTTTTTTTTGAGATGGAGTCTCGCTGTGTCCCCCCAGGCTGGAGTGCAGTGGCACGATCTTGGCTCAGTGGAAACTCTGCCTCCTGGGTTCATGCCATTCTCCTGCCTCAACCTCCCGAGTAGCTGGGACTACAGGTGCCTGCTACCACGCCCAGCTAATTTTTTGTATTTTTAGTAGAGATGGGGTTTCACCGTGTTAGCCAGGATGATCTCGATCTCCTGACCTCACGATCCGCCCGCCTTGGCCTCCCAAAGTGCTGGGATTACAGGCGTGAGCCACTGTGCCTGGCCTTCCTGGTATTTCTTTACCAAATCCTAGGTTTGCAGGCCAGCCCCAGGCTCTGAGAGACTGGTAACGGAAGGTGTAAGTCAGACTGGTCGCATTCCTCCTAGGTTACCACATTCTCATCTGGAGCCAGGAGGAAGCCAGGACCCGGAAATGAGAGACACTAAAGAAGGTGTGGGCTAGACAAGGTCTTGGAGCCCACACATGGGATCAAGTCCTGCGAGCAGAGGTGGCGATTTGTTAAAGGGCCAAAAGTATCCACAGCTAGGGTTGGAGCAGAGGTGCTGGGAGCTGGGGCGCTGTGGGACTGGGACACTTTTGTGTTAATGCTCTGGACCTACCTCCAGAGACTGCTCCAGAGTTGGTGACGCAGCTGCCCCAAGGGCCCCTCTGTATCTAGCCTGGAACCAAGGTTATCTTGGAACTAAATGACTTTTCTCCTCCTCTCAGTGGGTGGTAGCAGAGGGATCAAGCAGTTATTTGATTTCTGCTCACTTTTGATACAGCCAATAAAACCATACCCGACTGAGCTTTTGTGTGGATCTTCCAGAAGTGACCTGGTCAGAGAGCTTCTTGCGTCTCAGAAATGAAAAGGCACAGGAAACAGCACTATCAGTCCAATAGGAAACAACACTATTCATTCTCTGGGAACTGCCCCAGCCCTATTCTGGGCCACAGTCTAGAACTTTCTTTTCCAGCTCACAACCTGCATGTACCTCAGGTCCCTGGAGACCCCAGCCCAGCTGAGGGAGAGCAGTTTCCTGATTCCATGTGACAAGCGACTCCCCTCCCATTACTCCCCACTCCCTCCCAAGTACAGACACCCTTCCGTCCTGCTCCAGTTGAAGGGGTGACAAAGATTCCTGAAGCATTCTGTCTGAGTCTAACGGTGGCTCTAGCCAGACACAGGGAAATGTGGCTGGCTGGCTGTTGGGTGATCCAGTTCCTTGGGAGCCAGTATTTGTACCCCTGGTATTTGCTGTTTTTCTCACTAAAATAAGCACTGAGAGGCAAGACCGTGTCCTCTGAGCTATTTGCCAAAGACTCCAGGCTGGAGGAAAAAGAACGGGACTTGATAGAAGCGCAAGGTGGATCCAGCACCAACTCTGCCATTTTCTAATCCTAGGTCCTGAGTGAACACTGACGGCCAGTTTACATCTCAGGTGTGTAGGGAGCGTGGAGGAGGGAAATCCTGTTTGGAGAAAGCCAGTGTCCAACACAGCACTTGGTAAACATCAGGCATGGGAATGCTGAGTGACAGGCACCACGGGCCACGCTGAGCCCCACTCGCTCATCTGGCTGGGGTCATCAGAGGGAGGCCCAACCCAGGATCTCCCGTCCATGGGCTGGGGAGCAGCAACAGTCAGGAGCGAGGGCCCAGCCCACCTCCCCTAGGAGGCGGAGGGAAGCGGGCTGAGTGGTTGTCAGGCATGGTCCTCCCCATCTGCGACGTGGCGGTAGCCAGGAGGCTGGGCCTGCATCCGGAAGAGGACGGTGAGGAGCAGCACTATGAGGAGGAAAAGGATGGAGCCACATACAGCCAAGGCCACGATCACTTCTGGGCATGGGGGAGGCAAGAGAAAGGTCATGTCAGTGTTCCATCATATGCCAGGTACTGTTCTGACATATAGGAGATACACAGAGGTGGCCAAGACAGAGTCCCTGCTCTCATGGAGTTTACGTGCTAGGAGAGGGGATGTAATAAATAAGCAAATGGGCTGGTCACAGTGGTTCATGCCTTAGTCCCAGCACTTTGGAAGGCTGAGACGGGCAGATCACCTGAGGTCAGGAGTTTGAGACCAGCCTGGCCATCATGGTGAAAACCCATCGTTACTAAATAAAGTTGGCTGGGCGCAGTGGCTCATACCTGTAATCCCAGCACTTGGGGAGGCCGAGGTGGGCAGACCACCTGAGGTCAGCAGTTCAAGACCAGCCTGGCCAACATGGTGAAATGCCATCTCTACTAAAAATACAAAAAATTAGCCGGGTGTGGTGATGCGCGCGGGTAATCCCACCTACTCGGGAGGCTGAGGCAGAGTAATTGCTTGAACCCGGGAGGCAGAGGTTGCAGTGAGCTGAGATCTTGCCATTGCACCCTAGCTTAAGCAACAAGAGCAAAACTCCATCTCAAAAAAATAAAAAATGAATAAAAGCTGGGCGTGGTGGTACACGCCTGTAGTCCCAGGTACTCAGGAGGATGAGGCGGGAGAATTGCTTGAACCTGGGAGGCGGAGGCTGCAGTGAACCGAGATCACACCACTGCACTCCAGCCTGGGCGACAGAATGAGACACTGTCTCAAAAAAAAAAAAAAGTTAGGAGTGACAGGTCAGTGACGAATGTGATACAGAGAGACAAAGCAAAGTAGGTCAGCAGGGAAGGCATCGTTGAGGAAGTGAGAAGTTTAACAGAGACCTGGAGTCAATGAGTGACATACAGTGATCTGAGAAGAGTGTCATGGGGCAGAGGACAGGAAGGAAGGGCAAAAGGCCCAAATGTGCGGATAAGCCTGGCATGTGCTAGGATCATCAAGAAAGTCAGTCTCACCAGAGCGAGTAAGCAAAGGGCATGTAGGAGATGGGGCAGGAGACCAGATGGAGTAGGGCCTGGAAGGCCATGGTGAAGAACTTGGATTTTATTCTACATGTGATGGGAAGCCATTGGAAAATTTTGAGAGGACAGTAGTGTGAACTGGTTTAAAAGTTAACTCAGTCGGCCACGGTGGCTCATGCCTGTAATCCCAGCACTTTGGGAGACTAAGGTGGGCGGATCACCTGAGGTCCGGAGTTTGAAACCAGCCTGACCAACATGGAGAAACCTCGTCTCTACTGAAAATACAAAATCAGCTGGGCGTGGTGATGCATGCCTGTCATCCCAGCTACTCAGGAGGCTGAGGCAGGAGAATCGCTTGAACCCGGGAGGTGGAGGTTGCAGTGAGCCGAGATTGTGCCATTGCACTCCAGCCTGGGTGACAAGAGCAAAACTCCGTCTCAAAAAAATAAAAAAAGTTAACTCTGCTGTGCTGAAAGACTGGGAGGGACAAGAATAGAACCAGAAAGAACTAGGAAACTTCAGTCGGTCAGGCAAAAGCTGACAGTAGATTGGACTGTGGAGGCAAGAGCACGTATTAATATTTGAAAGGTTGAGCTGATCTGGCAGTGGGCTGGATGAGGGGTATGAGAAACGGTATGCAGAATGACTCCAAGGGTTATACTGTGCCACTAGGCGACTCGTGGCATTGACTGAAACAAGGAAGCCTGGAAGAAAAGCAGCTTTGGAAGGAAAAGCATCTGGTTTAAGACATTGCAACTTTGAGATGCCTTACTTAACGTGCACATAGAGACCTCAAGTCGGCAGCTGGATATGAGTCTAGCTCAGAGAAGAGGTGGTGAATCTGTGAGTGAGGGTGTAAGGACAGAAGTGAGCATGGAGATGGGCATAAAGTCATAAGGCTGCATAAGATCACTTGGGAGTGTGCACAGATGGGGAAAGCGCCAGGGATGAGTCCTGGGTCATCCGTTCTTTAGTGAGGAAGGGACAACTAAAGTCAGGAGAAGCCAAGAAAGTGTTTCAGGAAGGGGTGGCCAATTATGTAATGCTGCTGAGAGGTGAGAGAAGCTAAGAATTGGTCACTGGCTTTGGTAAGAGGAGGTCACTGGTCACCAGACAAGTGGCTTCAGGGTAGTGGAAGGTGACACAAGACTGTCTAATGTGAGTCTAAGAGATCAGGCAGTGAGGAAGCAGAGCCAGAGTCTAGGCAGCTCTTTCGAGGATTCCATTCTGAGAGGGAAGAGGCTGGTGGCTGGGGAAGAGGTGGCTCTCAGAGGTCATGAATGGGCTTTTGGGAGGGAAGTGATCCAGTAGAGAAGCAGAGGCGTCAGAGCTCCTTGCAGAGGTGAGGAGAGAGAACCCGAGCGCGGGTGGAGAGGCCATCCTAAGCAGTGGCTTCCCCAGCAAGTAAGCTGGTGGAGCTGGTGGTGGAAGAACGAGCCGATTCTCTCCTGCCTCTTATTTTCTCGGTGATATAAGTGAGACATCACCTGAGGGTGAGAAGTGGGGAGAAGGTATAAAGTGGTCTGGGGTCGGGGAGGGAACTCCTAGCAAATGCAGTCAGATGACTGGGAGTGCGACAGCTCTTGAGATTTGAGGATGTGAACTGCAGGTTGGTCTGGGGCATGACTAGCAAGGAGTCTGGTGACAGCTCACCTGTGTCTGCAGGACCGCTTGCCAGCTGGCACTCCTGCTGCCAGTCCTTGGGCACGACGGGCTCCGTGAGGTGAAGGAAGTCCTGCAGTGGGCAGCGGTGAGGGCAGCCAGGCAGGCTGAGTGGCCAGGGGGCCTTGTCACTCTCGTTCCGAAAGTACATCTCCACTGAGAAATTCCTAAGGGTCGACAGGAGGCAACATGGGAGCTGCCCAGCCTGCCTGTCATGGGGTCCTTGGGCTGCCCCGAGCCACCTCCTGAGGGCCCTCTCCAGAGGACACTGCTAGCTCCACTCACCCAGAATCTTCCTGGTACAGTTCAAATATGTGGCAGGACGCATAGGGGGCTTGTTCGCCATTGTAGACGTCCAGTGCCATTTGCAGGGCAACCAGGGTAGTGTCGTGCTGCGGGGGAGAGAGGCTCCCCGTCAGCATTGTTCCCCACACCCGCAGGAACTGAACAAAGAAGAAATCCATCTCCTTGCCTGACACAGCACGCTAGGGAGCGCAGGCACTCACCGCGGAGTAAACCAGCAGCTTGGGGAGCTGGGAGGTGGTCGCCATTAGGGTCAGGTTCTTCCTTATCTGAGCCAGCAGGACTCCTGAAGGAGAAAAGTCCCCGGTGTTGCCGGCTACAGCCACCCCTGCCTTCTAATTCCACCTATCTGTGCTCCTTTCACCCTCTGCCAGGCCTGGGCCTCATCCCCTACACGGAGAACTCTTTAGTGTCATAGGGACCATGTAAGAACTCTGTGGCACCCCTCCTCTCTAAGAACTGTCAAATGTATAGAAGGAAGCAAGACAAAACAAAGTATTTGCCTATATTTCAACACGGATGTAGAAACCTGCCTGTGTTTACAGAAGCACTTCAGTTTGAAACAAATGTAAACGTAAGATTGCTTCAGAGTACACAGTGGGTGGATCCGTGCCCGGGTAACTACCATATGCTCTGAAAACTGAGATGTCAAAAAGGTGTGACAGCAGGCAAGCCTTTAGGTGCTCAAATGAGGAAGCTGGCATGTGTATTACTCTCAGCCTTCTCAAAATGGCCCCCACTGGTTCTCTTGGGGCAGCTATTCATTTAGGAGAGGGAGGGTTTTCTGATGTGGGCGAAACTTAAGAACATGAATGGCGGGGCTGGGCGTGGTGGCTCACGTGTGTAATCCCAGCACTTTGGAAGGCTGAGGCGGGCAGATCACCAGAGGTCAGGAGTTTGAGACCAGCCTGGCCAACATAGTGAAACCCTGTCTCTACTAAAAATACAAAAAGTAGCTGGGCGTGGTGGCAGGCACCTGTAGTCCCAGCTACTTAGGAGGCTGAGGCAGGAGAATCACTTGAACCTGGGAGGTGGAGGTTGTAATGAGCCAAGATCGTGCCACTGTACTACAGCCTAGGTGACGGAGCGAGACTCTGTCTCAAAATAAATAGGCTGGGTACGGCGGCTCATGCCTGTAATCCCAGCACTTTGGGAGGCCGAGGTGGGTGGATCACCTGAGGTCAGGAGTTCGAGACCAGCCTGGCCAACATGGTGAAACCCCATTTCTACTAAAAATACAAAAATTAGCCAGGCATGGTGAAACCCCATTTCTACTAAAAATACAAAAATTATCCAGGCATGGTGGCATGTGCCTGTAATCCTAGCTACTCAGAAGGCTGAGGTAGGAGAATCGCTTGGACCCAGGAGGCAGAGGTTGTAGTGAGCCAAGATCGAGCCATTGTACTCCAGCCTGGGTGACAAAAGGGAAACTCTGTCCCCCCGAAAAATAAATAAATAATTTCTTTTAAAAAGAATATGATGGCAGAAAAGGAAGAGAACTGGGGAAATTTGGTGACTAGCGGCATGAGGAGGGGAATTTGGTTCTGAAAGAGCAGGGAGTGTTTCAGTAGAGAGGGAAGTGTGTAAGAAGCTCCCACAGCAGATTTTTAACGCCTTAGGGTCCTGAGGAGTGGAGTGACATGCTGTCTTTGTCACTCACCCCCCTGAAGCCGGGCCTTCTCCGCCTGCTGGTAGATTCCGAAGAGGAAGCGGAAGCTGAAGTCCTTTAGCCGGCTGAGACGCTGCATGGTTTGGGGTGAGGCCCAGGGCGGCAGGTGCAGCCCGTGCGTTTGCTGTATATCGCAGTGGGCAGGTTAGCGCCCCAGGCCTAGGCCAGCCTCTCCAGGGGGCAGCTCTCTTCCCCAGTGGGAAGGTGCCTGTGTGTGTGAGGGAGGGAGAGGAGACAGAGGCACAGGGGCTGGAACTAGTAGACATGGCAGACGGTGTGGATGCTGCAGGGCACAGGAAAGGAAGCTCAGGCACAAAAAGTGAGACTCAGCAGAAAGGAGCTTTGGGTGGAGAGCAGCAAGGACTGCTGACAATTAATAAACCATTTCCCACTCTGAGGATCTCTGTCACCCGTGAGGGAAGTTCCCGTGTTTCACAAGCACAGCCTCCCTGGACCTCCCCAGGGGCGTGACGGTATCAGGCACTGTGTTCTACCGTCCTGGTGACCTGGGCCTGCTGAAGGGAAAAAGAGTGATCACAGTGGGCACTCTAGTGGGCTCACCTCACAGAAGAGTGTGTCATAGACATTCCAGACAGTCTCCAGTGTCAGGTCTGTAAGCCCTGTCTCGTTGGCCACCATGTCCAGAAATTGCTATGAAAAATGGATCAGGATCTCAGTGCTTTTGTGGGGAAAAGACAGTATGGCGATCTCCACCTCTGCCCCTACTCACTGCATTCCGAGAACTCTCATTCTGATACTCTGGTGTCTTCCGGGTCTCATTCTGCAGCTGCTCATAACGGGGACATGGGCCCAACGGGAACTTCAGCAGCTGTAGAGCGAAGCGGGGAAACAGGCAGTGGGAAAAGGAGCCTGGCATCAGCAGGCACACGGCCACAGCTGTCCCCTCACCATCCCAGGGAAGGGCTGGCCACTCTCACCCTGTCCTCAGTGATGGGCACAGTGTGCACAGGGATAGGCTGCCACGAGATGTTCGGGTTGAAGCGCTGCATCCCGTTGGGAGGGAAGAGTCCAGCCAGGTTGGCCTCAGCACTCATGAGAGTCCGGTCAAAGTCTGTGCTTCGCACATAAACCTGCAGAGATAGCAACACAAGTCACGTGTGTGTGTGCGCGCGCGCGCGCGCGCGTGTGTGGTGGGAAAGTTTTGGTCACCCTGGAGTCGTGTGTGTGTGTGTGTGCCTGCGCAGGCACGTGTGTGGTGGGGAAGTTGTGGTCACCCTGAAGTGGAGCCTTATGTGTGTGTGTGTGTGTGTGTGTGTGTGTGTGTGTGTGCGCGCGTGTGTCTGTGGGGTGGGAAGTCCTGGTCACCCCAAAGTGGAGCCCTGGGGGAGAACTGGTTCCTGATGGTCACCCAGCAAACTGTAAACCTACCATGCATCTGGCCCTCACCCCCCTCTGGCCTCTGGCCTTCCCCGTCCCCCAAACACTCCACTGGGGGTTGTCACCACTCTGTGAAGAACTCCTGTGGGAATGGCCTTAACTGAATACCCCTTCCTCCCAGTCAAAAGTGCTGACTCAATCAGTAAGGCTCTCTGGTCTGTCTGGTTTCATAACAACACCTCTCTCCTTGTCTAGATCAGGGTCCTTGGGGCAGAAACTGGCTCTAGTGATGACCCTTAGAGACCAGGGAGAAAAAATAAGATAAAGGGCTGGGCCTGGTGTCTCACACCTATAAACCCAGCACTTTGGGAGGCCAATGCAGGAGGATCACTTCAGGTCAGGAGCTCGAGACCAGCCTGGGCAACATAGTGAGACCCTGTCTCTATAAAAAATGACCCAGGTGTGGCGGGCACCAGCTACTTGGGAGGCTGAGGCAGGAGGATCACTTGAGCCTAGGAGTTTGAGGCTGCAGTGAGCTATGATTAAGTCACTGTGCTACAGTTTGGGTGACAGAGTGAGACCCCTTTAAAATATATGTATATATTTTGGGCCAGGCACGGTGGCTCATGCCTGTAATCCCAGCACTTTAGGAGGCCGAGGCGGGCAAATCAGCTGAGGTCAGGAGTTCAAGACCAGCCTGGCCAACATGGTTAAATCCTGTCTCTACTAAAAATACAAAAATTAGCTAGGCATGGTGGCATACACCTGTAATCCCAGCTACTCGGGAGGCTGAGACAGGAGAATTGCTTGAACCCAGGAGGCGGAGGTTGCAGTGAGCCAAGATCATGTCACTGCACTCCAGCCTGGGCAACACAGCAAGACTCCATCTCAAAATAAATAAATAAATAAATAAACAATATTTTGAAGAGCTTATTCAGAGATAGTGGCTCATGAAAAGGCAGGAGGAAACTGGGGAAGGACAAGCTCAGGACAGAGCTGGGCCTTAAGGGAACAATTAACAATATCTAGGGACTCTTGACACAGCTGAGGCTGACAGTGGTAACCAGAGGAATAGCTTCCCCCATCCCTAGGGTAGGGCAAGGACTCAAGGAGCAGGCACACTCGCCAGTCCTCCCTGATGTGCCCTAGGAATGTAGCGTGACCTGGCGTGGCAGACAGGGCTCGAAGACCTCATCTTGATCAAGGAAAGACAAGCCCTATCTACGTGTGTCTTCCCCGCTGTCTTTCATCTTGGCCCTGTCTGGTTTATCATCAGATACCCCCACAACACTCTAAGCTCCATGAAGACAGAGATCATATCTCTATGGTGCACCACTGAACACAAAGTGCTAGCATAGTTCTTGGTCTTTAATGGGTACTCAATAAATGTCTTGGATGGAAAGGCTGTGATTTCAAAGAGTCAGAAACCACTTTGCCAGGCCCGCCTGTAAGGCTGAATTTGGATGCTTAATCAGGTTTGCCTCTTCCTAGCCAAGCAGGGGCAACTCAGCTCCTAGGGTTTTGTTCCAGACAGCTCTCAGATGTCTTTTCCTGTAGTTGTAACCAAAAATACAAGAAGGAGGCCAAAGTGCCCAGCCTTAGCCTTAGGCTCCCTGAGAGCAAAAGATGAGGGCAGCATACCCCATTCCCCTTGCCTCTGGAGCTCCCAAGCTTACCTCTTGCCGGTGATAAGAGGTGTTTAGGAAGCCATGATAGCGCTGCCGCAGGGCCTGGCCCAGCTCCCAGTGCTGTAGCATCCCCTCCTGTGGGCAAACCCAAAAGTTAAGAGGGTCTAGAGGGAAGGGGTGGCTCACAAGCCCCATGGGGTTTAGGCCCTGTTGCTTTCCAGGTTTACCCTTTGCTGGAGTCAATTAATCTGATCCCAGAAGTCTTTCATTAAGTGGCCAGTCATGCACGGCAATATCATGGGCACAGAGGTTAAGGTTATGAAATCTGGTCAAAGTCAGCACCCACATGGGAAAAGGCAGTTTAGTAAGGCCCCAAGTTCTGTAGCCTGCTCTAGACATCACTCATTCTACAGCTCATCCTGAGGAAAGGCTGGCTTCTGACCCACCTTGGTTAATTGACCAAACCCCTGGGGCCATTCTTCTTCCTGGTAGGGGTCCTTGGGATATGTCTTCACTGGTGAACGGTCTCCATGGCGGTACAGCTGAGGGAAGAAAATGGTTTGCCTATAGGTCAGAAGCATCTCGATAGGGACCCAGAGCCTACCTTTTGCCCCATGTTAGGGAAGGAAGTCTCATTCCCTTTGGGAAGCCTACTCGCTGCAAAAGACCCCAGTTAGGAGTCAGTCACTTCTTCCAGATTCCAGACACTCTAACTTGGCTAAGCAATGCCACTGGAGACCACAGGCAAAGCCAAGGTACAGGTGGTAAGGGAAAAGAGAAGTGAAAGCAACGTATGTGGTGGGGACAACTGGGGAAAAAAGACAACCAAAGGCTTCTTTAGGGATGAGTCTTAACCATTTGACTACTTCCCTGTGTCAGGGCAAACTCACCCCGACCTATTCGGTCACCCTGACCCCCATAACCCAGGGCTCCACGTCAATCCTGAACCCAGCCTCCCAACTACACAGGCCAGTCGTCCTCTCCTAAACCAGCTGTTCCTTCCCAAGATTCCCGACCCCCACCAGCTGGCCTTTGCCCTTCTAGCTTCAGGGAACTCTTTGGTGACCCCATTTCTCATTACCAAGGTAACGAAGCGCAGACTCCGCGCCTGGGTGGGCGGCATCACCATCAGGTTCACGCCGAGAAGGAGCTGGAGGAGAGCCGCACGGCTCCAGACGGACCGCTTGCCCGCCATCACCGTTGTAATCTATGCAGCAAAGAAGCTGGAACCCGCTGGGTGGCACCTGCAAGCAGCCGCCCGGACGCACCCGTAAGGACACACGCCGGAAGTGCGCTCGCCGCCATCTTACTTAGGGATGAGCTGGGGTTGGGAGATAAGGCGCAATCTCGGTGGGAATGGGTGCAGGAGGGTCGCGATCTGGCTGTGGCGGAGAAGCGTAGGCACATAGCCCAACGTGGCGAGGCAGACAGGGCTCGAAGACCTCATCTTGATCAAGAAAGCATTAAGTTCGCGTTTGCCTCTGCTAGGAGAAATCCCTTACCAAGGTGGCGCTTGCAGTGGGCGGGACCATGTCCTGGAACGCGAGCGTCCCCTCCAGCCGGGGTGCTTCCGGGCTTGACCCCATAGGTAGAGCGGGTGCAGAGTTGAGGCGAGGGACGGGAAAGCAGAGGTCGCTTCTCTCCGCGCCCCCGCCTTTGGAGGGGATTGAGCCCTGGCCCTGTTTTCTAGGAGACGTTTTGCTTGGGGTGCAGGGCACAGTATGTAAACAACCCTTTGGATTTCCTGTGTCCTTGAGGTTGCCTCTAGTCTAGCCTACCGTTCCTGCCCGGCACGAAGCTTCAGTGGCCCTTTCACTTTCCCTTCCAGGCCTTTCCCTGACCTCCCTCCCCTCCGCTTCCAAGTTTTAGTTAATTAGAGTCAAGACGTCATGCCTCTTCCCAAAGGAGTTGTGTTGCATAGGATGTTCAGACTTTCCAAACCCAAAGCACTGAATCCCTAGGGGAGGAATTTCAGACCAGTGGGGAGGTATTTTGAGGTAAGGGGCAGGTGCATATCATAAAGTGGGAGTACATGCGGTTTACACAGAATCAGTGGCCCTCTTGGCATTGACCATTAGGATTCAGGTGCAGCCAGTTTCGCCTCAGGACTTTGTGACTAATATGACGGTTGCAGAAGGTCAGATCGTAGGTCCTGGGGATGCTTTGATTCAGATCTGCCTACTGGAAGCAAATCTCCTCAGATCTTTGAGAAACAAAACTGATCAGGCTTGGGCAGGGCACCGTGGCTCGCCTGTAATCCCAGCACTTTGAGAGACCGAGGCAGGCAGATCACCTGAGGTCAGGAATTCGAGACCAGCCTGGCCAACGTGGCGAAACCCCATCTCTACTAAAAATAATAATAATTAAAAAATAGCTGGGTGTGGTGGCGTGCTCCTGTAACCCCAGCTACTCAGGAGGCTGAGGCAGGAGAATCGCTTGAACTCGGAAGGTGGAGGTTGCAGTGAGCCGAGATAACACCACTGCACTCCAGCCTGTGCGACAAAGCAAGACTCTGTCTCAACAAAAAAAAACCTGATTAGGCTTGGTGTGGTTGCTCACGTTTGTAATCCCAGCACTTTGGGAGGCTAGGGTGGGAAGATTGCTTGAGCCCAGGAGTTCGAGACCAGCCTGAGCAGCTTATGAAGGGCTCATCTCTACAGAAAAAAAAAAAAAAAAAGTTTAAAAATTAGCTGGGTGTGGTGGCACACACCTGTGGTCCTAGGTCCTCGGGAGGCTGAGGTGGGAGGATCACCTTGAGCCTGGGAGGTTGAGGCTAAAGTGAGCCATCAGGGTGCGACTGCATTCCAGTCTGGACGGCAGAGCAAGACTGTGTCTCAAAAAAACAAAAAGAAAAGAAAAAAAAGATCAGAATTAGCTGTCCTTATTTTGCCCTAGGACTCCAGATTCAATTATTTATATATACTTCAGGATTTAAACTTTGCTTCCAGAGTTGTTGTGGAGGAGGCTGAGAAGCAAATAGAATAAGAGCTGAAGCCTGGGTAGCCAAATAGTTCTTAACCTTGTTGTTTAATCACAAGCCCTTTTGAATCACATGAAAATTTTGCACCTCTCCTCCAGAAAAATGTTCACACATATAACACGCACATGGAATTTTGCATATAATCCCAAATGGTTCACAAAGACCATTTACTAGAGGTTTCATAAATCAGCATCTCTGAATACCTGATTTAACCTAGTCGTCTTACTTCACAGCTTAGGAAACAAACCTAAAGAGAGGAAGTGACTTGCCCAAACTCACAGTTTAGGAGAATGGATTAAAAGTCTAGTTTTGTGGTTTTCAGTTAAATAGTCTATAATGGGCTGCTTCTTGCAGGCTACTCAAACTGCATTACTAAACTGTAATTGGTGATCCCGAAATACTTTTAATAAAGAGGTATCTGTCAAAGGAAACCTTTTCACATTAGTGGGACTAAACAGGGCCTAGGCCAGGCACAGCTCGCACCTGTAATCTCAGCACTTTAGGAGGACAAGGCAGGCAGATCACCTGAGGTCAGGAGTTCGAGACCAGCCTAGCCACCACAGTGAAACCCCATCTCTACTAAAAATACAAAAATTAGCCAGACATGGTGGAGCACGCCTGTAATCCCAGCTACCCGGGAGGCTGAGAGGGGAGAATTGCTTGAACCCAGGAGGCAGAGGCTGCAGTGAGCCAAGATTGTGCCATTTCACTCCAGCCTGGGCAACAGAGCGAGACTCTGTCTCAAAAAAAATAAATAAAATAAAGGGGGCTTGGGTAATTGGCAGAATGCTGCATATTAGTGGCGGGGAGAGGGGTTGAGTGTTTTGTTTTAATGGGCCTCTTACTCTCCTTGCAAACTAGCCATTGTACTTTCAGGGTGTAAATCTTTGGCTCACCAAATTTCAGCAATCTCTCAAATTCAGCTTTTGCTTTTCTTCCCACTTGCTCAAATATGTCTGTATTCTTTGTGCGTGCAAGTATCCCACGTGGGAGGGATTGATGAAGCAGATATTATTTCAGTTTTTATAGGGAGAAACTATTCCAGGAAGGGTGGGGGTTACAGCACAAGTAGATAGTAGAGCCTGGAGCTGAGCCCTAGTTTCTTCTTCCTTTGCCCCCAGCTTTTGCATTTTCTGCCAGATGATTCTGTGGTCCTTATACTTTGGTTCCTAACTACAGATGCAAAAAAACCCCACAAAAACAAAAATACCACACACATGTAGATGGTGAGATAGATGGATATGTGGGCCTATACCAGATCAAATAAATCAGAATCTCTGAAGGTGAGGACAGGAACCGCTACCTTATTTGGTGTTGGCAGAAGCAAACCTAAATCCAGGTACGTTCGCCATTTTTTCCCATCTGAAGAGGCAGTTTTTTGTTGTTGTTTGTTTTTTTGTTTTGAGATGGAGTTTTGCTCTTGTGGCCCAGGCTGGAGTGCAATGGCGCCATCTCAGCTCATAGCAACCTCCGCCTCCCAGGTTCAAGTGATTCTCCTGCCTCAGCCTCCCGATTAGCTGGGATTACAGGCACCCACCACCACGCCTGGCAATTTTTTTTGTATTTTTAGTAGAGACAGGGTTTCACCGTGTTAGCCAGGATGGTCTCAATCTCCTGACCTCATGATCTGCCTGACTCGGCCTCCCAAACTGCTGAGATTACAGGTGTGAGCCACCGTGCCCGGCCCCAGCCCAGTTTTATATAATGGAGTGTGTTTGTGATTTTTGTTTGTTTAAGCTTGAGCTCGAACTTTTGAATCAGCTAAACTTGTTTTTTTTTTTTGTTTTTTTGTTTTTTTGTTTTTTTGTTTTGAGACGATCTCCCTCTGTCACCCAGGCTGGAGTGCAGTGGTACAATCATGGCTCATTGCAGCCTCAATCTCCTGGGCTCCAACAGTCCTCCTACCTCAGCCCCCCAAGTAGCTGGGACTACAGGCAGATGCCACCACGCCTGGCTAATTTGTGTGTGTGTGTTTGTTTTTCTGTAAAGGTGAGGTTTCACCATGTTGCCTAGGCTAGTCTCAAACTCCTGGACTCAAGGGATCTGCCCTTCTTAGCCTCCCAAAGCGCTGGGATTACAAGTGTGAGCCACCACACCCAGTCTTATCCCTGTATTCAAATTTGATATTTGCCCCTTGCTAGCAACTATCTCTTAGAGTTTACTGTGAGAATAAATGAAATAATGCATATAAAGATAAATGTATGTAGTAGGCATGAAATCAATGTTACATCTTTCCTTTCTGCCTTCTGTATCATCTCTGAACTCAGGTGTGGGAATCCAGGTTTCTGGATTATTCTCTATGTTGTGATTGGAAGGTTGGGCAGAAGTCACTTGAGTAGATATGCAGTGATCTGCAAGATAATCCCCACACTTTCCACCCTTCCAGAACGGTGAAGGAGGGAACAAGAAGCAGTTGCCCTCGTCCATTCCTGCAGAGCTTACCCTGCAGCCTGCTTCATGGGAATGAGTACTTTCAGGGGAGTTAGCCAGTAGTACCTGTGACCGTGGCTGGTGAATGCTCCTGTTTCTGCTTCAAGTTTCTCCTTGCTGTGAGAAGAAACCTGTGGAGGTTCTGGGGGACCAGATTTGTGACTTGGTAGATCCCTGAGTGTGTTCCCAGGGACATTGCCCCCTGCAGGAGCCAAGGAAACATAGAAGAGGCCCATAGGACTGGCGACTTTGGACCTAACAACTGCAAGCTGGTGGGACTGTGGCACAGGGGTGGGGCTGGCAAAATGGGAACGTGATTCCGGCCGCTGATCACTTCACTGCTTGCCCTGGCTTGAAGCAAGTCTCAGTGGTTGGTCTCCAGAAACTCCGTGGAAATACTGCCAACAGGTTTTGGTCTTCCCCCATTTTCCTCTCCTTTTCCCTCTTTGTAGGGATGACAGTTGGGGTTTCTGAGCTGTAACCTGGTAGGACAGCTCTGGCAGTTGAAGTCCTGGTTATAATTTCTTCTAAACAGGAGATGAGGCTGAGGCCAACCTGGCTTGGAGGAGTTGGTCCCCAACCTACTTTTTCAGCAGTTGGCCCTAGCCTGGTGCCCCCCATCCAGATGGGGCTTGCGTGTGGTCCTGGGTCCTGGGAAGCCACCTGTGGGCAGACTAGGTGTCAGGAGAAGGAGTTGAAGAACAAAGTGGATGAAAGTGATTTCTCCCAGCTCGCAGAAGATAGGGTACCAGGCCCCAGACCATTGATTCCTGAGTTTCTTGAAACCAGGCATCTCAGAGACATCTCTGACTGCCCTGCCGGGCTGGAGCTTCTGGGAGCAGGGAGGTAGAGGAGGGAGCTGGACTGGTGATGTGGGTGCTGGGACAGAACAGTGCCAGTCTCTCAGTGACTAGAGTCCCTGGTTTCTGCTTTTCCAGGACAGCTGGGGCCTTGTGAAAATCAGAGAGGGAACACATGCGAGAGGAATGGAGAGCCTTGTGCTTGTGACTCAGAGATACCCAGACCAGGGTGGGGGCCTTGGGAGGGGACAACCTTGTGATGAGGGGGAACAAGAGCAAGAGCTGCAGGCAGAAGTCTGAGATGGGGGTGTCACAGGGGCTTTTCTGAAATGTGAAAATGAATACATGGGCAGATTTTGCAACAGCACCCAGCCTGCTGTCTTCTCACACTTTGCTCCCCAGCCCCCGCCTGTTCCCCATGTCCCACCCTGTGCTCCCTACCGTCTTTCAACCAGGCTCCTCTTCTGCCTCAGCCTTCAACTTTTCCTCATCTG